AAAGAAGTCTCTCATGTTCACGACAGCTGCATTTATTCTAATATGCAGATTTTCTGATCAAGAAACATGTTTTATTATTATTAGCAGTGTTGTACTGCTTAATATTTTTGAGGAAACTGTGATTCTTTGATCAAATATAGAGTTCAAAAGAACAGAATTTATTTGAAATGGAAAACGTCATTGTATCGATGTGAAAGTCTTTACATTCACTTTTTAGCAATTTAATTCATCTATGCTGAATAGTATTATAGTAAAAGTATTCATTTATTTAAAAAAAAAAAATCTTACTAACCCCAAAGCAGTCATGTAAATGTGTTGTAAAAATACACTATTTAGGGCCTGAGCAGATGGTTCAAGGACCCTCTTCTTGGAATTTCTCCAATTATTCATTATTAGAATTTTTGGAAAACACTTTATTTTACAGTGACCTTGTCACACGTGTTACATGTTGTTGTTATTATTGTAATAACTATAAATTATGCATAATTCCATTCAACTAACTCTAAACACTAAACATCCTAACCCTTGCCCTATAGTAAGTACATGAGATACTTATTATTACTCCGTACTTAAAACAGAAGTTCACTTTTTAAAAAAACGTTTGCTGATAATTTACTCACCCCCATGCCATCCAAGATGTCCACGTCATTCTTTCTTCAGTTGAAAAGAAATTAAGGTTTTTGATGAAAACATTCCAGGATTTTTCTCCATATAATGGACTTCAATGGGAACCAAACGGTTCAAGGTCCAAAAGACAGTTTCAGTGCAAACTGCAAACTGTTCAAGGGCTTTAAATGATTTTTTAAAGTCTTTAAAATGGGCTTTAAAGTCTTATCAAGCGTTTCGCTCATTTAAAACAAAAAAAGTTTAAGTTTTATAAGCTCAAATGGTTGCCTTGCTCTGTTCTGTGATGTGCATTCGTGAGTCTCCTGTTCGAACTCATTTATCAAAATGAACAAATCTTTTTTCGTGTCATTTGGTTCATTAAACGAACAAAATGAACGAGTTGACTCTGGAAAAGATTTGTTCATTTTGAATCTTGAATGAGTCTGGAATCGTTTAAAGCCCTTTGAACAGTTTGCAGTTTGCACTGAAACTGTATTTTGGTCCTTGAACTGTTTGGTTACCAGTAAAGTGCATTATATGGAGAAAAATCCTGGAATGTTTTCATCAAAAACCTTAATTTGTTTTTGATATATAACCAAGCTATAACCTGCTTGTGTTTTTTTTAACTTTATTGTGTTTGTGTCTGCTTGTGTTTTTAAAAAACTTTATATCTATAGCTTCAAAATGTATAAATTTTGCATTAACTTGTAAATATTATCTTGATAGACAAAACGTGTAAGGGTCATAACTCGCCGTAGAACACAGATCTCATTTTTTGCGATTTTCCAAAAGTCTATGGGGAAAATGCATAGCTTTTCGATCGAGGGAACCATGCGCCACTAGCTGCCGAGTTGTCCTACAAAGTGACGTCATCACTTCAGCACTTATTTTACGTGTAATTCTGTGCCATAAGTGTCTAAATGCTTTTGGAGCCATGCAGTTTCATTAAATTCACAGGTGCAAGTCTAATTACATCAGCTTTTCATTCAGTATATTAAATTGATAATACAAATTTGTATAGTTATTATTATATAATGACCTAACTTGGCTGTGAGTTTTATAGTTGAGAGATCTCAGCCTAAAAGCTTACCTCTCTCTCTCTCTCAGTCCTCAGGCCCCACCTCCTCCAGAGAAGTCGTGGGAGGAGATGCCGTCCAGCGTGAGCCACCTGGGAGCTGAGGATTTCAGGGAATCTCTGAAAAAGAAGAAACATGCCTTGGTCATGTTCTATGCTCCATGTAAGCCTTCTGTTTTTACAATAATCCCACAGCTGTAGTTTCTGTCTCGAAGCACGTATCCAGCCTTCTAAACCTTTTAAAATTATGAAGCGTTTTTTGTAGCATCCTCCTAAAACACTGTGTGACGGCAATTATACAGAGCACTGAAATGTGCAGGTGGCGTAACATCTGCCAAATGACACTATTGCTTCCTGCATATAATATTTTACAATATTTCAAATATTCATAATAGGCCATACTGTAATAGTTTTAAAGGATGTTTGTACGTTTCTGAAATGGCAAAAACCTTGGAAATGGAGATGAATTACTTTCTCTGTTATTTGTGAAGTCGAACACAGTTTAAAAGTTACATAGTGCATTTACATGTTATATATTGTTCCATAGCAGCTTTACAAAGAATAGTGCCTTACAAAAACCCCTCAATAAACAAGAAAATGGTGACCATGGCAAGGAAAAAAGGCATAGAAAGAAATTAAAACGCCCCAGTTTTCATGACTGTAAATGCAAATTATTTTTTACCATTAAAAATTGTAAATAATTATAATAGTATAATATTTTAAGGCAGTTGCAATATGTCAAGACTGAAGCTTGTTGCTTTTTTATATGTAGATCTGTGACAAAAAGCACTAGATTGTAGCCAAATTGTTGTGACACACTTCCAATTTGCGTAGATACTACAAAACATTTCAAACTGTTTAGAAATCTGGCCAACCAGATCGTCGGGTTGGCACTAGCTTAAGAGCTGCGATGAGCAACAACAGCCAATGCAAATGTTAGAGGAAGGCTAGACAGTGGGAGGCAGGAGCCAAAAGCAAAACATCAAAATGCTGCCCACGTCTCTCCCAATACGGTCTCCTCCTTATTGGCATTCGGCTCATTTTCTTCTTTTATTCCTTCATGTTGTTTGTTGACATGTTGTCAAGAATTGTAGTGTTGCTATGTTGAGTTTTTGTGTAAACAAATCTCAAGATTACCGCAATTGTCAGGGAGACTGGTCTTGTGATTTGATGCACGTTTGCTCCAAGATGAAGTAAAGCAAGAAATCGTCGCTAAAATGTGCATGCTAGAATACTACTGGTATTTTCTATGGCAGAAATAGTAAAAGTAGTATGCTAGTATGAGGTTCCGAATTAGCAGTTTTGCAGGTCATTCTGTTTTGTGGTGTACTTGGCTAATAACTTCTATACTTGATTATTTATATCTAAATGTTACGGCAATGAAAATTGAAGGGGAAATGTGCTACATTTGTCATGAAAATAATGTCAGAATATAAAAAACCCATAATGGTCCTATTTTCTGTATGATATGATATTTACTTATAGAACTTGTTTACTTGATCAATGTAGATCTCAATTGTGGACAAATGTGGGCACAGAGGACTCAGGAGTGATCCTAATTTTTTATTTATTATAAATGTTATATCACTGTCTTTGATAAAGTTTTGTCTATCCATTTATGCTGGTTTTTTTTTTTTTTTCTTTTTTTTTTTTTTTTTTGGGGGGGGGGGGGTTATTTTATTTACTTCAAAAAGTACCATGTAAATTATGCTTATTTTTGTGTTTTATTTTTAAATTATTTTTAACTACATTAAAATATCATTCCAATAAGTTCTTAGAGCTAAAACCTAAAGATGAAGTGACTTTGCTGTCACCTGATGTCTTATTTTGGCTTATTTTAGAATGCTCTAAATTACAGTTTTTCCCATTCATTTCTATGGGTGCCCATTTTTGACCCAAATACAAGATTAAGGAGGGTTTTTTTTTCACCCACTTAACATTGTAGAATTGAGTAAAAAAAATGTGTGTGTTCAGGAGGCAAACTTGGGAAAAGTAGCCAAGTCTTGGACCGCTCAGATCAAGGGAAGTATTTTTTTAAAAATAAATCAAAACTATTTTGCCCACATTTGTCCAGAATACAAATGTTCGTCAATAGATCACGCGCAGAACTTTCCACTCCCATCAATGCTTTTATGGGATTGTATTTTCATGCTAATCTGCCCTGTTTAGTAAATCTGGCATCTTTTTTGCCAATGAATGTATAGAAATCCGACTCTGCTCTTTTGTGCTAAATTTGCATCAGTCATTGACCTTTTTTCAATATGTGCAGAATTAGTATTGGTTTTACACACGTTTGAGAACACAATTTCAAATTAAAATGCCATTTTTGTTATCATAACGGAGGCGTGTAACGTGTATTCAATGAACAATGGCATATTTATTTAACATTAGACTGTATTGTACTGAACTCTCAGTCTCACTGGATCCTTTAACTACAGCTTTTTTTAAGAAGTGTAATGCAAACAAAAAGAACTAAAGTAGCTTTTGTTTTGGGTATTAAAGACTGATTAGTAGCACAAATTATGGTGTGAATAGTGCCAATTAAAACAAGAGCTTTACTGAGTGTTTCAGTGTTGCTTTGTTCTGGTGAATTTGATGGCAGTCTGGATTGCTATAGAAGCAACTTTCTGGTTAATGATAGGGCAGGACTTTGCATTTGTACACACTGAAGGTTTAAATATCATCTAGCGACCCTGATAACAGTGGCAACACTTCGGAGCGAGCATGATAGTTGAAATGAGATGTTCTTATCAGGGGGTATCAAGCAGACTCAAGGGCTTTAGTTCTCACAATCCACTTCCAGAATGTCTGACGTCAATGTCAAGTCTGCACACAATTTCTAGGGAGTAAAAGTTTCATGTTTTGACCTAGAAGGGCAGTGCACTTACTACTGAACTGGAGTCGATTGAAACGCTCCCAAAAACATTTCCTGCATATGATGAAAAATGATTATGCTCTGTTATTTTAAGTACAGCTTCTGCCCACGCTTTGAGCTCTTGATTAGCGTATCTATCTGGGCACTGAGTCAGACTCGCATCGACCTTGCGTGAGTCTGGAGGCCTGCCCGGCCTTTCTTCTCCATATAATGGCAACATGAGCCAAAACTGGAGGTACACAACTTTATGCTCCATTATTTATAATGACCCCCATGTGTCTTAAATTAGACTCCTTGTTCCTCACACAAATAGACCTTTGTTTGCTGCCCTGCAAATTATGACCGTGCCATTAACTCCCATTTAAAAGTCACCAAAGTGAACTTGAATAACGTTCATTTAAAAATGTAAAATAGCACAAATGTGTGCAAACAAGATTGCATGACAAACCTAAACTAGCACGGTAAATTTGACGTTGTTTTTAGCTTTAGGCGGCAGTTTATGGATGGAAGTTGTTTGTTTGAAACATGCAACACAAAATGCCATGCATAATTCATAATAATAACACCGTCCGCTTCAAAGCCACCTTGCAAGGATATGATGGAAATGAAAGTTATGTGGGTAGAAACTCTTGCCTATTCTTTAGACAGTTTGATGGACATGCATCGCCTCAGGAAAGCCACCGTTGGGCCTATGCGAGTAGTAAAGCAAATTAAGATGAATTTCATTTTAACCTGCTACACTCAGTTGTATTTGTTTGGCTTAAGTTAGTCATGCGAGTAATATCTTTATTTTTAAAGACTTCAGTCATTTTTCTTCTGTTCTTTCGCTTTAGTATTCATCTCTATTTGTGTATGCTGGGATATATCACCTCTTGCTGTTTGTTCTCTGCATTATGAGGTGAGACAGCTCGATGAATACTTATATCTTACTGTTTTCCCCAGGGTGTCCACACTGCAAGAATGCCGTCCCTCATTTCACCACAGCGGCCGAGCTGTTCAAAGAGGACCGCAAGGTGAGGCTCAGTGCCATTAAGGAGATTTCCAGACACTCTAAATAACAAACGCTTTCAAATGACTACCAGGTTCTGTCAAGCGCAATCAGGTTCTCTCTCTCTCATTCAAACAGCCTTCACACATCCCAGAATTTAATCTCTTTTCATCTCCAAAACATTCTCAAGGACTTGAATGTCAGAGTCCCTTTGCTGTCTGATGCAGTCAACCTTCAAACCTCACTCATTATACTTTTCCTCTGTCGATATCTGTATTGTAGTGTGTAGCAGGTTATGCTGTCTTAGCCATGTTTGTCAGACTTTTAGCTTCTTCTACCCTTGCATGTTTAAAGGGGTTGGTACCTGTGGCGTTGTGGGGGAATTGTATTTGGACATTCAAGTCCAATACAAATTGGAAAAAAGTGGTAGCACTTTACATAGTATGAGGAACAAAACAAGAGTGTAAAATAAAGTCCTGTTCCTCATTCTATGTACTTGCTATAGTTGTTACAATAACTAGATACCAACCCCTAAACCTAACCTTAAACCACGTAGTTATCTTATATTACCTAGTACTTCATTTGGGAAGTACACTGTAGGGCTGGGTACTGAAAAAAACGGTACTTTTTAGGTACTGACCGAATTGCCTCGGTACTACCGAGTATCGAAACATGTCTTGTTTTTTGGTACCAAATTTCGGTACCTAAGTGGTTAATCTCGTCAACGTCAGTGAAACAATAAGCATGCAACACTAGTTTACGCGGCTGCCCAGAGACGTAGCTCGTCGCACGTGAGGCTGTTGTGTGTGTGTGCGTGCAAGCGTCCCAACCCAGATAGATCAAAAATATGTGGAAATGATCCAAAGTCTGTACAGTATGTGCCAGACTCGATGCCAGAAGCAGGCTATGCAATATTTTTGACAAGATAATTGCCACCAAGACAGGTAACACGGTAAATTTGATAAGGCACTGAGGCACACTTGAGAGTAGAAAGATTATCCCTCTTCGACTACAAGAGCTGGAGCGCGTCACAAATGAACCGAAAACCAAAATATGTCTACTTTTAAACAAAACATTTAGAAATAAATAGTTTGATTACCTAATATTGGCGCATTCACTACTGCAGGAATGACGAGCATCACCATAATCATATTTGCAGCCAGCACACTTAAAACTTGTTCATTAATAAACAATTAAAATATATTCTTGCTCTTGTTTCCCCGACACATCCATAATCATTAGGCTACTTTTGCCAGTGATTTGCGGCAAGCTTCATGTGTGCTGAACGCGAGGCATATATCCCGCCCCCAGAAGCCCATATTTAATTTAATTCACATTTATTTGTATAGCATTTTTCACAATACATATCGTTTCAAAGCAGCTTTACAGAAAGTGAATGTTTCTAAATTACAATTTAGAGTGATCTGTTATCAGAGCTGACAGTGTAATGCATTTCAATTAATTTTCATTCAGTTTCATTGTTACACAATGCATTAAGATAAGGCAGAAACAATTAGCTCATTGAAATGAAGAATACATGTTGTTCAATGATTAGGAAACATAGAAAACTTTAGCATTGGTGCTTTTTTTTACGTACTCAAAATAAGAATGTGAAAAAGTCTGAAAAAACATGAAAAACTGAAAAAAAATGTAGGTAATATTATATTGTTAAAACTGGTTACATAAAATTGGTATCGAAAAAAGTATCATTCAGGAACTGGTATTGAAGTCAAGGTATCGGTATCGAACATTTTGTTATACCCAGCCCTAGTACACTGTAAGGACATACTGTAAAATAATGTGCGATCAAAAAAAGTGAAATGACGTGAAGGGCAAGTATGGTGACGCATACTCAGAATTTGTCCTCTGCATTTAATGCATCCAATTTTGTGCACTGACATTAGGAGCAGTGAGTAGTGAACACACTCTCGCTCACACACACACACACACACACGCCTGGTGGGGACTCTCCATGCATAATGATTTTTATACTGTACATAATGTATATTCTATTCCCTATTCCCTAACCCTACCCCTAAACATACCCATCACAGAACCCTTTCTGCAGTTTAATTTTTTTTAAACTCATTCTGTATGATTTATGTGTGAATTTGTGTTTAAGTCCCTTCCAGGATAGAAAAACATAAAAACACACTCACAGAGAGAGCAGTGGGCAGCCATTGATTGGGTTGGTGCTTTGCTCAAGGGCACCTCATTCATTTCCTGCCAGTGTTGAGAATCAAACCCGCACCTTCGTACTGTTATTCTGCCATTATTTGGTAGCAGTTGAATATACATTAACAGGTAATGTACATTTACATCATGTAGTCAAGAAGCTAACATGAAATGACAATGAACAACATTTCTACAGCATCTGTTTTGTTTATTTATGAATAGACTACCGTTCAAAAGTGTGGGGTCGGTAAGATTAAAGTCTCTATGCTTATCAAGGCTGAATTTATTTGGTCCTGAATACAGTAAAACAGTAATATTGTGAAATATTATTACTATTTAAAATATTTTAAAATGTAATTTATTCCTGTGATGGAAAAGCTGTCACGTGATCCTTCAGAAATCATTCTAATATGCCGATTTAGTGCTCAAGAAACATTTCTTATTATTCTCAATATTTAAAATCATTGTGTTGCTTAATATTTTTTGGAAACCATGATACATGGTTTTCTTTGATGTATTTGGTGATTAGAAAGTTCAAAAGACACAAAAAAGTTGTACCACCATTATAAATGTCTTTACTATCACCTTTTGATCAATGTAATGCATTCTTGCTGCGTAAAAATTTCTTTAAAAAGAATCCTACGGACCTAACACTTTTGGAAAGTAGTGTATATATGTACCTACTGCATAAACTAATGTTAATTAATCAAACCTGTAAAGTTTTAACCCATTATAATTAGGGCTGGGTATATGTATATGTTGACACAAATTTCACAATTCGATTAGATTTCGATTCACAAGCTTGCAATTCGATTAGATTTCGATTCAATATTGATTATTTTGGATGTCAGTTACAATAAATGGCAAATTTTCTCAAGGAAATCAAATCTCTTAACTAATGCTGTGAACTATGGGAGTTTAGTTGTAGCTTACTAGGCTTCATTAACCTAATATGAAGGTAATAATGAACTGTTTTGTAGCTATACAAACACTTAAATTACACTTTTATTTATTTTTATAATAAGAAGATTATATGAAATCATAAAAACTTGCAATATTTATTCAAATATGCATTAAATATTGAAGAACATTAAGATTATAATGCATATGTAATATGGTGTATATATTTAGCAAAATACTCCTCTCTAGAGTTATTTTTTCTAGCTGACTAACGAGTTTATGTGGGTTTTCTGAACAGCTATGTTACTACCTAGTTAGTACCATGAAATCATGTCCTTTTTTTCATAGTTTTGCTGGAAAAGTTGATCACAGGGCAGCACTGACGACTAATTTCTAAGTGCGTGTATGTTTTCATCTATGTGCAAGTGTGAGTTTGCAGAGTGTATGCATACAGGGAAAGAGAGACAGCAAGAAAAAGAAAGTGTGCTTTCCATAGATAATAAAGGTAATTTAGAAGGAAATGCATTATTTGTTTATGTGGTCAGTGTCTTTGTAGGTTTTGGTTCATTTGTTTAGAGATGTGTATTTACTGAAAAATAACAGCATGATTTAAATGTTTGTCAACAAATTATAATCAAGCATTCAACAGCCCTGTGACAAAATGTGTAAATAATGTAATGGCTTGATGCCGATGCATGTTTAACCGAAGCTAATTTGGGTGGGTTTGTCCCATCCCCAATGTCCCATCTCTTTCTTTCACGGCCCTGACGAGAACATCGATCTCCTCGGGTGTGAACCGATGCTGAAGTGCGTCTGGTAAATGTGCCGTTAAAATAGTATTGCGCCATGGAACAAGAGCACCTCGTTCTTCACGCTCTTAAAGGGAATGTGATATGACACTCTTATTGGTTTATTTCCGTTACGCCCAAACCACACCTATGAATAATGAAGTTATGTCAAACCAACCCCTTTTAGATTTGCGCTCTAAATCTTTCCTCTTTCTCCCGAAACTTCTTTGAAAGTAGCTGGCTCTCTTTTGAATCTTCAGGGGTATGTAAAAACCATTTCCCTGGCTTTAACTACAGACATTTATCATTGGCCATAAGACAGTGATGTTGAATTGTTGTTTTGCAGATGTCTATAATTCATCAGGCACAACGTCAGTCCTCTTCAATTTCCCTGTAGCTCTTAAGTTTGCGCATAATCGTTATTCAGATGAACTGCAGTTGGAAATTCACTTTGCCAAGATTCAAATGGAGCCAATTCTGAGCTAACGCCCTTAAAGATATTATCAAAAACAGATATTGTTTGTCTGAAGAATAAAAGCTTGGTTCATGAAGCTCCATCTGCTGGTTTTTCCAAAACAGTGAGCCACTTCACATCATTTAAAATACAGTCAAGGTTATTTTCCCACAAGCATAAACCTGTGCTTTTGTCTGTCAGTCATTGCGCTCAAGAGGCAAATTAGACCTCATGAGCATCAGACCATTACATTATTTACACATTTTGTCACAGGGCTGTTGAATGCTTGATTCTAATTTGTTGACGAACATTTAAATCATGCTGTTATTTTTCAGTAAATACACATCTCTAAACAAATGAGCCAAAACCTACAAAGACACTGACCACATAAACAAATAATGTTTTTTTTCTTCTAAATTACCTTTATTATCTATTGAAAGCACATTTTCTTTTTCTTGCTGTCTCTCTTTCCCTGTATGCATACACTGTGCAAACTCACACTTGCTTTCACACTTGATTTCATGGTACTAAGGTAGTAACATAGCTGTTCTTGAAGCAATTAAAGGACAAGTTTGTTATTTTACACTTAAAGCCTGTTTAAAGGAGAACTCCGGCGCAAAATGAACCTTTGGTCTAATAACACATTGGTAGCTAGTCAACCGTTCTCTGAGATTTGTTTTCATGATAATCGAATGTAAAGAGTTTTAT